TCCACTGGATGATTTCTTAATTGTAGGTCAAACAAAAGCAAAAGCAGACTTGAAACATTCTCATCCCTCCTTGAAACTGGATCACATTCCATGGTCTCGCTCTTTGAAGTGGTCAGCTGAACAGCTGGATACATGGTCTGGAGCTGGGAGGAGGAGTGCCTTAGTCCATTCCTGCTGCTATGACAAAATAGCTTAGACTTGGTAATTTATAAATAATACACATTTATTTCTCATAATTCTGGTGGCTGGGAAGTCCAAAGTCAAAGTGCCGGCAGATTCAGTGTCTGGTAAGCTCTTTGTGTCCAAGATGGCAACTTGTTGCTGCATCCTCTGAAGAGGACAAATGCTGTGTCCTCATATGGCAGAAGGGATGCAAGGCAAAAGGGCCAGGAAGCCCTCTTGAGCTTCTTTAATAAGGGCATTAATTTCATTCATGAGGGCAGAATCCTCATGACTTTGGGCCTTAACCCAAAAGGCTCCATCTCTTAATACCAGCACAATGAGGTAAGTTTCACCATGAATTTTGGAGAGACATAAACCTTCAAACCATGGCTAAGACTCTGGACTAGGGGATGTCTCTCTAAAGTGGGTGCTTGTCTGCTGCCAAAAGAAGGTGATGAGATGAGGAATGCGAAGTTGAGAAGGGGAGGGTACGAGATCATTGCGCATTGAGAGAAAGGGGAGTTGAGCAGAGGAGTGTAGTAACAATGGTGGGCCTGGCAATGGCTCAAATGAAGAAGGTGACTGCAGATTTCCCTGTTGCATGCTTGGCTCCTGTGGTGTTCGGAGCTCAACCACACGCTCAGTGAGAGTAGAGGGTTGAGTTTACCCAGGCCTGTAGTTCTGCCTGACAACTGCAGTGAAAAGGCATAGGGGAGGGTGCTGAGCATATTGGCAAGCGTGTTTTCAGAGTCACAGGGCCTGGAATGCAAGGAATGGATAGGGAGGCAAGTGAAGAGAGGCTGGTGGGTTGGGAGATGCAGACTGAGAGACCTTCTGAGGTAGAAGCATTTGGAAGAGCATGCTGGGAGGACAAGAAGCCGTGGTTAGAGGTAGATGTTCAAGTTTTGGAAGGTGGAATAGCTAGGGGTGATGACAAAGTGTAGGGTGTGACTTTGAGAGTGGACAGTTGGGGCAGCGTAGCACAGAAGGTCACTAAAGGAGGAAATTGTGGAGCCCAGAGCCCAGGGTGGGGGATGGGAGTTGTTTATATGTGTATCTGTTAGGGGTCGAGTTTGGCTGCATATAACAGACAACCCAAATAGCAACAGCTTAAAAGAGACAAGAGTATAATTTCTTCTGACATAGCAAAAAGTGCAGAAGTAGACAGCTCAGGTCTGGCATGGTGACTCCAAGATGTCATCAGCAACCCAGAGTTCATTGAGCTTTTTGCTTCCCAGGGGTATGACACTCTTCCTCATGATTACCAGATGGCTGCTGGAATTCCAGCAATCACATGCAAATTCCAGTCAGGAGCAAAGAGGAAGAGACAGTGAAAAAGGGTATACAGCAGCAGAAGGAAGCTCCTCAAATGAACTCTCCTAGAACTCTAGCCAGTAGCTTCTTCTATCACAGTGGCCAGAACTGTGACAAGTGACCATCCTTAGGGCAAAAAAGATGCTGAGAAATGTAGAATTTTGTTCCCACCTTACATTTTCAAAGGAGTTCCATTCGTAACTACAGAATGCTCAGAGAAGAGGCAGCAGATCTAGGCTGTGGAGCAGCAGCTCCTAAGGGCACAGTGGGAAGGTTTCAAGACTGAGGAGGATCTGGGATTTGGGTAGCGGAAGGCAGTTCACAGTATCATGGAGGAAATGCTGTGAAAGAGAAAGTTGAAGGCATGGAGGCTTAAACTTTTAATATGACCGCTGAACACAAGGATAAAGGGCAAAGGGAATTCAGATTCATGGTGGCCAGATTAAGACCTTTAGTGGATCTGTCTCCCAGCCCCACATACCCACTTCCAGGTTCTGCTTTTTTATGAAGCTCAACGTCTGCAACCTTCATTCTCTGACTCCCTTGCATTTTCTTAGGCTTTTTGCTAACGTCTGCCAAAAAGAGGCCCTGGCAGGAGATCAGATGGCACGGGGCAGAGGTAAGGATTCCATGCAACAGGTGCTGGAAGTTGCTGGTGTGGCAATGAAGACTGGGCCCTGGTCAAGGGAGCACTACTTTGGAAGATCCAGAATCAACCATGATAATTGTAACAGTGCAGCAGTAGACACAGGTCCCTGGTGCTGGAATCCAATCCAGGGACAGGAGCAACATGTAGTCACTGAACACCATCTTGCCTTCATGTCACTTTTCCAGTTCTTCTTTCTCCCTCTTACTCTACCAGCTACCTGTGGAGATGTTTAACCTTTTATCTGTAGCTATCTGCTTAGGAATAAAAGAAAAGGCAGCTTATTGCATGACTCAGCTTTCAGCTTGACTTTCTTTTGGCAGAGTGAATTGGGGTCCCAGGTTTTTATATTCCTTTTGCAGTATCTTTCCTCAACATGCAATTTAAAAATAAAAAAAAAAAAAAAGAACAATAAACCCTAACAAAGTTTGGTGTGTATTCTTCCAGACTTTTCTCTTTGATTTTTACATACATTTATCTGAATCCATGCAGATTATGTCATATGTGTCTGTGTGTTTATATACTTTTTTTTGGTGTGCATCATTCTGCAACTTGATTTTTTGAAAAATTTGGTAACTGATCTTGGAGATCTGTCCACGTTGTTACACATATGAGATTTTTGTATTTCTTTTAATTAATGGTGTTCAAGTAGCCATTTATGTAATGATGAACATTCAAGTTTTTGCAATTATTTGCTCTTAATAAGGTGCCCTGGTGAACAAACATTCTTGTACATGTGCCAGAGTTTCTCTGGAGTAATTAACCAGCGTGGAATTACAGAGCTGTAGAATGTGTGCATTTTTAGTTTTACTAAAACTAAAGTAAAACTTTAATTTTACAGTTTGCCCAATTGTTCCTCAAAGTGGCCGTGCCCATTTATACTCCCACCCGTGGGCAGGAGAGTGTCCTCTCTAATTCTTGATTTTTCTAAGCTGTTTAATTTTGGTTGGGAGATAAAATAGTATCGTTCTGTTTTAGTTTTCATGTCCCTATGGACTAATTTTAGCATTTGAGCATCATCTGATAGGTTGGTGATGGCTACTTCGGGCTGACTTGTGCTTGTGAGGTGGTGTGGCCCATACTCCATGGTTTTCAGTGGCAGGCCTTATAAATGACTCTTTTTGACAAAAAGATTCACTAAGAAGCTTACTGTGATATCTTTAAAAAAATAATATTTTGTGAGTACATAGTAGGTGTATATGTTTATAAAATGTATATACATGAAATTTTTTGATATGGCCATACAATGAGTAATAATCCCATCAGGGTAAATGGGGTATCTATCACCTCAATCACCAGGGTTTCTTGTGCTGCCAGAAAATGCTACTGAGCTGTCAGTTGTCTGAGGCTGTTGACCTGGACAGAGGCAAGGGGGAGACACCCAGCCCCAGGCCTGGCCAAGAGCAGGACCTGTGCAGATGCCCCCAGAACTGTAGGTGTCAAGCAGTGAGTGGCAGCCCCTTTTGTGGCAAGCCTCTGTGGAGGGCCACTGTTCAGCCTTGGGGTTCATTATATTTCGGGGAAGCTGGACAGTGTTATAGATTCCTTCACATGATATATAATCCTGTGATGAATTTAGATTCCCAGGCTTCAAGCAGCATCCAGTGGGGAACTATAACCTTTCTGCTTTGATAAAATGGAAGAGGGCAGGACAGGGAAGGGCAGTGAAACCTGAGATTGGTTATGGTTACACTTCAGTTAATTTTTTTTTTTTTTTGACGGAGTCTTGCTCTGTTGCCCAGGCTGGAGTGCAGTGGCACCATCTCAGCTCACTTCAATCTCAGCCCCCGGGGTTCAAGCGATTTTTCTGCCTTAGCCTTCCGAGTAGCTGGGACTACAGGTGCGTGCCACCACGCCTGGCTAATTTTTGTAGTTTTAGTAGAGACAGGGTTTCACCATATTGGCCAGGCTGGTCTCGAACCCCTGACTTCGTGACCCGCCCGCCTCGGCCTCCCAAAGTGCTGGGATTACAGGCGTGAGCCTCTACAAGATGCTATTCAGCAAGTTAATGGAGTCACCTTCCCTGCAGACCTCAGTTATATTCTGGCAGGAAAGGATCAACTCATTCTGTTATGGGAGACTCACGTTCAAGTCCAGGCTTTGGGACTCTGTGCCTCAGTTTCCTAACCTGTAACACTGAGTGCTGCCTCCCTCGGGGCGGGGGGATCCTGCTGTTAATAAGCACCAAGCCAGAAATCAGGACCACAAATTCTAGTCTTTGCTCCAACAGGAACTCTCTGGGTAACTTAAGAGTTTTTCCTTAAGCTCTCTCTCTTCCTCAGTTTTTCAATCTGTAAGAGGGTGTGAGCATGCCTGTTGCACTGGATCCTGTGGGATTAAAGACGACAGGACGTGTGAAGAGTTTGGATAAACGCCGCGGATATAGCCTTCAGGTGCAAACTCAGGTGTGCGGGAAAGTGGACTGGGAGTCTTTCCAGCCACAAACAACTAAAACCTAACTTTAGATGTAAAGAGTATATGCAGTTTTGGATGAAACCGCTTGGCCGGGGCGATTTCCGGCCTATCTTCCCGGGAAACTGGGCAGCAGGCTGAGAGAAGATTTCCAAAAAATGAGGACAAGCTCTGAAGACCAGCCCCGCATCCTCCGGCTCTTCCAGGGTCGCACGGCCCTGGTCGGCTCCCGCGCGCCTCCTGGTGCCGTGTCCCTGCCACTGCCCAGAAACCACGTGTAAGAAAGTGCTGACAACCTAACTACGCACTATGGTTTCGACCCATCCCAACCAGTAGGGAAGGAGGAGGCGGGGCGGAGGAAAGCGAGGGCCCAATCCCCTCCCGCTTTCCGAGGGGAAGGCGGGGCTCGGGGTTTACCACGTTGGGTTTGTCCGCAGCGCTAATTACTTTTTCCAAAGGCTGTAGGGCTTCACTCCGGCTGGCGCCGCCGCCTAGCGCGCTCCTGCTTCGCCGCCACGGTCCGGGGGCTGCCGGTCCCGGGTACCATGTGTGACGGCGCCCTGCTGCCTCCGCTCGTCCTACCGGTGCTGCTGCTGCTGGTTTGGGGACTGGACCCGGGCACAGGTAGCGCCCCCTCCCACAGCCCTCTTCGCCCCGCGTCGGGCGGCTACCTTCCCTGTGCGCTCTCGCGGCGTTCTGGCGGCCCTGGGGCGGCGGCGGGATGGCTGACGGCGCCGGAGCGGAGAAGACGCGGGCTGCTGCCGGAGTACGGGAATCGGGTGGCTCCGTGGCAGGCGCGCCGCCGCCGGGTCTCCGCTTGCCGATGCGCGGCGCCGTCCCGGGAGGTGCTCGGGCGGCTGCGCCGGAGACCCTCCCCGGGTGGCGCGGGCCAGCGTGGAGGTGCCGGGCGAGGGAAGGGAAGGCAGCGCCAGCTCCGGGTCGCTCTGTCCCCGCGCTGGCGCGGCTGGCGGCCAGCGGGAGGGCGGGCGTCCGGGCGGGCCCCGCCGCGCTGACGCGTCTCCTCTTTCCCCGCAGCTGTCGGCGACGCGGCGGCCGACGTGGAGGTGGTGCTCCCGTGGCGGGTGCGCCCAGACGACGTGCACCTGCCGCCGCTGCCCTCAGCCCCCGGGCCCCGACGGCGGCGACGCCCCCGCACGCCCCCAGCTGCCCCGCGCGCCCGGCCGGGAGAGCGCGCCCTGCTGCTGCACCTGCCGGCCTTCGGCCGCGACCTGTACCTTCAGCTGCGCCGCGACCTGCGCTTCCTGTCCCGAGGCTTCGAGGTGGAGGAGGCGGGCGCCGCCGGGCGCCGCGGCCGCCCCGCCGAGCTGTGCTTCTACTCGGGCCGTGTGGTCGGCCACCCCGGCTCTCTCGTCTCGCTCAGCGCCTGCGGCGCCGCCGGCGGCCTGGTACTGCCCGCTCCCCCTCCGGGTCGGCCCGTCGGGTCTGCTGCGGCTCAGGGTGGTCGCCGTGGAGGGTGGGGATGGGGCGCCTCTGCTAGAAGTCCAGCCTCCAGGGGAACCGGAGGGAACCTCCTGCCTTTCCACCTCTCCCCACTCCCCACCCCTGCTTTCGGTACCCACTATAGAGAAAGGGAGTGGGAGGGGCAGCATCGTAGTCCAGCGCCTCTGCGGCCGGTGGAACCCGCGCGGAACCGGTTGCATGGGGTATACGCCGCCCGCCCTAGGGAGCGCAGATCTGGCAGGGATGAAACTGTCAGGGCTCTGGACAGAGGCGCCTTGGCCCCAGTGTAGACAGAGCACTGCATCTACACCGCTGTATCTACACCTGTATGTCACGGGAGTACCTATGTGCGTATAGGTGTTCTGTTCTTGGACGTGGTGTTGGGGGAGTGGGCTTTCACCTCCCTTCCTTTTGAGTCTTCTCTCTGTACCTGGAACAGGAAGTTTGGAGAGGTACCCAGGCAGGCCGCGGCTCACCCCGCTCTTCTTAGCTGAAACGTAAGAAACAGGAGAGAAAGGGTGTTTGTCTTTGCTTCCTTATACTATTAGTAGGCATTTGTCTGGTGCCCACCCACAACCAGGCCTGAGGGGTGCTTACATTGGTGATGAACCCTATTCCTGCCCCCAGGAGCTCCCTTGCTGTGGTAGTAACTTCCCCGCCCCCAAGTCCCTGGCCTGTTGCATTTGAGGCACCCGTAACAGGTACTCCCGGGGGCCGGGGGGTTCTTGTGTGCACTTGCCCTGCCTGTGCATACACTTGATCATGTGGCTACACTGGTGCCCAGACGAGCATTCAGCCTCTCCATCGTGCCCTGAAAGCAGCACACATGGCCAGCAGATGGCTGCCCCCAGCGAAGCTTGGTATGGACCCAGAGCATGAACCGCAGGGATGCTCTTTGTCTTCTGTCTTGACTGGCCTCTTTGGAGGCAGTTTCTGATATTAGTTTGTGTCTGTCCTTCCCAGGCACAAGAAACTCCTCCCCACATTTCCACCTTTTCTTGTGCCGCCATCTGGAATTCTCCAGCCTTACAGAGTCTCTGGCAAATCCTCGAGAATCTCCGAAGCCAGAAGGCCTGGGGGTGCAAGGTGTTATGTAAGACCTCTCCTTTCTTCCCAGTGCTGTGGGTATCTCTGGGTATAGTTTCCTAGCTCAGCCTGGCTCTCCTTTCAGGAATTTTCTGAATTCTGATTAGGGTATGATCTGCTTTTGCTCAGCTGGGAAAAACAGGCAACTTTGGTGAACCAAGGAAAGTGATATAGACCCTTGGAGGGGGCCTAGTAGGAAGGAGCTAATGTGGACCTGGGGCAGGGAATGTGGACCTGGGGTGGGGAATGTGGACCTGGGGCAGGGAATGTGGGCTGTGGGCAAGGAGGCTTAAGTAGGAGTGAGAAAGGCTCAGATCACTGTAGGGCTTGGGTCAAGGCTGTATCATGTTCTGGGAGGGACTGGAAGGCCCACATCATTTTTCCTGTTTTTGCCAAAGTGTTTAAAGTCTAAGTCACATCATTGTACTGTACATGGAAACATCTGAATCCCATTTGCTGCGGTTTAGTGAGTTTCTGTAGAGGTCAGAGTTTATACTTCTTGGTGTAAAGTTTCCAGCAAGGAGCTATCTGTGAAGGAGCCGAGGTGGAAAGCTGGATAACATTGATTTAAAATCCTTGCAGAGTGAGGGCTGGGTCCTTTCATAGATGGCATCTCAGCCAGCTTCTCAGCAAGACTGTCCTTCCCTTCAGCACCATGTGAGGGTGCTGTGCTTTAGATAAAGGAACCCGGCCAACAGGCTGAGTTCAGTGTGTGCCAGTGGCGGGTGTACCTCTAAGACTTCAGCTTTTAAATTCTGTTGTTTAGTCTGCCTTGTTCATCCCATTCATGTGAGCTGGACATTGGACACTTCCCCCTCCGTACATGTTGAAGGCAGGAGGGAAGAGACAATGGGGTGACTTGGAGGTGGACCCCTTGCTTGCAGGGTGGCCCTGAAAGTGTAAAGAAAAGAAAGCAACAGAAACTTGGGCTAACCAAGTTTGCATTGCAGACTAGCTTTGACTTTGGTTCTCAGTTCAGGCGGCTGGTGATGTTGTGTTAGTCCCTGTTGACCGTGGTGGAAGCTCTGTGAAGTGGAGACGTGGAGTTTTGTGTGTGTATTTGCTACGACAGTCTCGGCTATAAGGTGTGGGAAGGGAGGCTATAAGTGGATGATTTTTGGTGGCCGTGGATGAGGAGCATTTCAGAGTGTCCTTGTATCTAAAAATGAGGAGCAAGAGTCGGCAAACTTCTTTGAAGGATCAGATAAATATTTTAGGCTTTGTGCACCACATAGCCTTTGTTGCAGCTGCTCAAAGCTGCCCTTTTAGTGTGAAAGCAGCTACAGCTATGGAAGGTATGCAAGCGAATGGATGTGGCTGCGTTCAACAAAACTTCATTCCGGATGTTGAGTATCATGTTAATTGCTGGTAAGTCCCACTGTATCGAACATCTCCTAAAGGGCTCAGCAGAGAGTGTTGAGTGCCTGGGCTGGGGGCACACAGGTTCTGTTCCATGTTGCATGGAATCTGTGCTGTTTATCTCCAGAGATGTTTGCTGTTTAAAGGAGATGCATTATTATAATAGATCATTCCTTAGCTGTTCAGGGGCCATGGAGAGTAAAGCACCTGTTCCATTTTTGCTCCTTCTCCTTTTGACAGCAGACAGTCATGGGCCTGCGGCGTTCCTTTCTTAGTGTCTTATCTTGAAAAGCTGGGCCAACTGCGCTTTTTGGATCTTCAAAGACTATATAGACTTAAGTATTGATTGTTTTCTGTTTATGCTTCTTCATTGTATTTACATTTCCAAGAGTCTTTAGAGCATAGGCTTTTTGGAAGTGTTTTTATGAGCATATCATTTCAAAGCATGAACTTTAGGTGTATGAGGAGGGCCTTTCCACTCCTCAAGAATTTATGTAAGTTCGGATCAACTGCCTCTGTGACCAGGACCGGATCGTGGAAGGCCAGTGGAATTGGAATCAGGCTGAACTTCATAGGTAGACAGGCTAGCAGAGAAGGCACTTCAAGATCAGTATGAGTGTCAGGCTGTGAAAAGAATCTGTGCAGCTTGTCCAAAGTGAGTGGCTGGAGGGCTTGTTTTAGGAAGAGTGAACGAAAGGAGGGGACGGCTGGAGGCCCCTGCTGTCGGGTTTGGTCTGCCGAGCAGTGGCCATCCTTCCTTGGATGATACTCACAAAGCTTGGGAAGGCCTCCCACTGGAATGTGTCCACTCCTTCTTGGCCAAGGCTGTGGCCTGCCAGGGGCACACTGTGAGATGGGGAGACCGGACAGACCACCAGGGAGCTCTGGGCTGCAAAACATTAAGCCATAACCGCTTTCCAGGGCACCTTGAAGAACTGTGAGAAGGTCAGGGATCCTCCTACCATAGCTCCTCTGTTGTCACAGCCACATGCTGTAGGACTCTTATTTGGAATCACTGGGGTCAACCTGGTGGCCCAGCTCATCCTCACTCTGGCTGGTCAGCCTGACTGCAGACCATGTGTCCATGTTGGTAGCACGTCATTTGTGGGACATAGGACGTTCATAGTTCTGTACAGCTGTTCCAGTCCACTAGAGAACTTTTAGAGAATGCTCACCTCTAATTTATAGGGGAGCAAGTGTAGTCCAGGTAAGAATAGATGGGGGCAGCCGGGTGCGGTGGCTCACGCCTGTAATCCCAGCACTTTGGAAGGCCAAGATGGGCAGACCACCAGCACACGAGTTCAACACCAGTCAGGCCAACATGGTGAAACCTCGTCTCTACTAAAGATACAAAAAATTAGCTGGGCATGGTGGTGGGCGCTTGTAATTCTGGCTACTCGGGAGGCTGAGGCAGGAGAATCACTTGAACCTGGGAGGTGGAGCTTGCAGTGAGCTGAGATCCCACCAATGTACTCCAGCCTGGGCGAGCTCAGCCAGCTGATGAGTAGGCAGCTTAGGTTAGAAGTGTTGAGGACCCCACTTTTAAGAGGGCAGCCTGCGTTTGCATGACTCCTGTGATGGAGAAGCAAGTTTGGGATGTTACTACCTCTCTCTTTAGAAAAGAGTTATCAAACCCTTTTGATTGATTTACAAAATTGCCCAGCTTTATAATGCAGCCTCACTCGATGGAGAACAGCTGAGTAGGAATTAGTCTCGTCAAAAATGATACGGTGTGGAGACCCATTGGAAGGGACTGCATTATAATACATCATTATATTGAGACAGGTCTGAGGAAGGTACGTGGTCCTAAGTGATTACCTAGTATTGCTGAAGAATTGATCGTGTGCAAAATAAATATATTTGGAGAATACAGAGAATACGAAGCACATATATAGAACTTTGTAAAAAGAAACAATTGAGTGGATGTTAAGGGGCACTTTGGCAGGAATCGAAGAAGGGCAAAGACAGTTTCGTGAAGTTTGGAGGCATGCAAGTATTGGAGGGAAGAACTCAGAAAGTTCTAAGGCCTCTGGCTGCCACCTCTGGAACAACATTCCTGTGGCCTCATGGTGGCTTCTCTTCACACCACTTTGTCCTCTCCAGCACTGCGTACTCTTGTGTTCCTCCTGATTGCCCAGGGCTTCATCCAGCTGCAGCTCTCCAGGCTGGGCTGACTCCTCTTAGGATGCCAGGCACTGGCTGCTTCTGCACCAAGCTCCCCAGTAGCATCGCCTAGGACACATACTGGATTTTCCCACTTTGAACTTTTGTTTAGTTGACAACATTTTAAAAAAAATGAAAAAGAAGTAAAAGATGGGATGATGAACTGAAGCAGTTTTCTTTGACTGATTGCATTCTTGGAGCTTATTTCCTGAACTCTGAAATACTGCAGCTGCCTGATCTTGGATGTGTGTGATGGGGAAGATGTTTTTTGCAGCCAGTACATCTGAGGGAACCATGCAGAGTCGTTGGTTAACTTTTCCCTGGACCTGCTTCTGTGCACAGGTCCCCAGATGCATGGTCACATTCTTGCTTCTTAGGAAATGAAACCGTATGGCCATTCAGAGCTGCGATCTTGAGCAAGTCATTTAAGTCCTTTGAACCTTTCTGCCTGCAGCCATACAGGGGTAAATAACATGGGCCTTGCAAGGCTGTTGATAGAATGGAAGAAGATAAAGTCTGTGAAATCATTTAGTGAGAGCCTGGCACATTAAGGCATTAAAAACAGGCTTCTTCTCTTGCCCTGCAGGCTGTTCCCAGACTTTTCCAGTTATACATCAGCTGATCAGTCATCGCTGTTGCCTGAATGAGCCGATCATTATCACACACCTGCCATGTGCAGGATGCTCTGGTAGGCCGCCCAGCAAGGCTCAGAGAGAAAGACAATGCAGGCCCTGTCTGGGAAGACAGTCCCAGCCTCCTGGAGGAAGGTGTGCTAGAGCCTGGAACTAGGCAGGGTGGGGTTTCAGGGAGGGAAGAGGGTAGGCTTCAGATTCCAGGAGGGAGGAGTGATGGAAAAGGCACTGAGGCCCCATTGTCCTGAGATAAGGGACCCATGAGTGGATTGGTGGGATGGTGGTTTTAAGGGAGAGATGGGGGTAGAGGAACTGAACTGGCAGGCATGTGGATTAAATGGGGCAGGTCTATGGGTGCCAACCAAAGGCATTTGGACCTTATCCTAGAGCAGTGGTTCTCAGCCTTGAGCCCGCATTACAGTCCCCTGGAGGGCCCATTAAACGGATGGCTGGGCCCCACCCTGGAGTTTTTGATGTAGCAGGCCTGGGGTGGGCCTGAGAGCTTGCATTTCTTGCAAGTTCCCCAAGGGATGCTGATGCGGCCATTCTGGGAGGGCACTCTGAGGGTCACTGGCTGAGAGGCAATGGAGGATGGGTAGTTGGGGAATCCTGGGGATAGTTGTATGGGGAGGACTGGCGGAGAGGAGCACTTAGAGCAGGGAGGTGACCAGGCTCAAGCCTCCAAGGCAAGCCTCAGAAAGGAAGGAAGACCACACGAGAGGGACTCTGAAGGGCAGGCTGGCAGTCCTTTTTGGCTGGCTGACACTGACTAGTGGTCTGAAAGGGCTGACACTGAAGTGAGGGACCCTGACATTACTGAGGTGAGGCCTGCTTTGGGAAGAAGACCAAGCATCTGTGCTCAGGCATTTCACATTTGAGGCGGCGGCAACAGGACTGGGGGAGGGGCCCTCTGGGTGATGCCTCAGAAGGGGTGCAGGTTGGGAAGCCCCGCATGGCCGTGTTGTGTGGGGGAGGCTCCTTCCACGGGAAGAGGTGCATGCCCACCGGAGAGTCAGAGGCAGGGCGGGAGGATCTGCAGTCACACGGTGGCTTTTTCTTCTTGGAAGCAGGTTGGTCCCTACAGGAAGCAAACTCACCACCCCTTTGGCCCCATCCTCTCAACCCATCTTGACCTAGAGAAGGAGACCTAAGACCCACTCCTGTTAACTGAGGAGCCGCAGACTCCTGAAGAAAGGCAATTCCGTTGCCATCTTTGTGGAGTCATGTGACTTTGTCCCCTCCCACAGAGGCATGCTGCTTGGAAGCATACAGGAGAGACTTCCTCTGTTATCTTAACTGCATTTTCTAAGTGAACTTGTGCTAACATTAGGTGATAAAAACGGCTGTGTCTTTCACACTCTCCACACTGCAGAGAGAGCTAGTCCTGCTTCCGGCAGGAGGTGGTGTGGAGTGAACAATACCTGATTTACAACTCTGTCTTAACAGAACCCTTCAAAGCAAGTACCCACAACAAAGAGAGTTGAAAGCACTCACAACTGCTGAAATATCAAGTTATTGCCTGATCCATTTTATTTGACCCACACTTCTTTAGTATAGCATCCCAAATCCTGCAAAACTTAAGATTTCTCTTTTAAGAGCACCATTTCATTGGGGGCTTTGTTATATCCCTTAAAACCAAGGGGCCTCAGGGTTGCCGGTTCTGTCTGCCATAGGCATTTATTTCTATACAGTTTGTCTCTTTGGAGGACGGTTGCAGGCCTCCTGTATCTAAGGCACAGGCTCATTGCTGGTATTTCTTTACCACCATCAGTGGGACAGAAGAGGCCTTGGACAAACATTTCCCTGAGTCTCCCCTCTCTGCATAGATGGTGACTGCAGGAGTCACACAGATCCAAGAAGCCCTGCTCAGCTCTTGGGGCCACGTGCAGTGGTGGGCTAGAAGCAAGGGTAGTGCGCAGAGCTCCATGGAGGAAAGCCCGGGTTCCAAATCCGAGGACCTCTCCACATGGAATCAAGGCAGTAGGTGTCCAGGGTCTCCAGCACCCAGTTAAACGCTAGGACGGCGCTTCTCAACCCTGGCTACACATTGAATTTTCCTGGTCACCTTTGAAAACGTATCAGTTCCTTGGGCTCCACCCTAGATATTCTGATTCACTTGGCCTGGAGTAGGGCTGAGGCATCAGGAGTTTTCAAAGCTCCCCAAATCATATCAATATGTAGCCGGGGATGAGAAGCCCTGAGCAAGGGGGTTGCAGGCCGTCCTTACAGGTAACTGCGTTTTCAGTCGCATATTTTCTTTTTGAGTAACTGTTATGTGGCAGTCATTGGCAAAAATAGGAGTAATAATTCTGATCTTGCCTCAATGGAACAAACCGTTAGGTCGTGAAAGTGTCCTATAACATGCGGTAGTGGGCTGGAATTTAACAATGCAGGGGGCTGCAGGGAAGGGGGTTTATTTAGGGAAGAGAGGAGTCAGGGAGAGAGAAGGAGGGCTGGTGGGTATTTTGGCGTAAGACTGCGTGTAATGCACAGGTGGCACTTCTCAACAGGACGTTTGACCACTGGTGGTGTGCTGACAATGGCAGTGTTAGAGATGCTTGAAGGAGGCTAGGGACAGTGACAGTGAGGGAGGAGGCAGGGCCCTTCCTCATGCTGGTTCCCAGGGTGAGGGCCCTGTACAGCCCCTCCCTGCTGGTGCTACTCCTGGCCACATCCCTGCTTGAGGTTGGAGCCCAAGAGGGCAAGTGGCTGCCAGGTTGAGGACCCACTAGTCCATTTATCCATCATTCCCCAGCATTGCTGTTTTCTTCTTTAAGTTTATAGAAACCAGCACATGGGGTCCCTGAGAATTGTAAAGAAAAACCTTCCCTAAGGTGCTAAGTGATGCTTTGCATGTATATATGAGTGTGTCTGTGTAGGATTTCTCACCAAGGTGAGATCTCCCTGTCTTGAAAAACTTGTTCGGCCTTAGAACTAACAGCTAACGGCTTTTTATACCGGGGTTTGTGAATACAAACTCTAGACTGAACGAATAAGAACTGGCTTTGAAAGTGCTAGATTGCGGGGAGGGGTTTGACCCACAGCCAGGGTGTTTCCACGTGAGTCCAGCCCCTCATTAGAGTGAAGCGTATCCTCTAGGGAGCAGGGGTTTCCTCCCACGCGGGGCTGCATCCCACGCGCTGTGCCGTACCCTGCCCACCCTATCTTGAGCGCGGAAGTTTTCAGGGGTTCTGCACCGAGGCTGCGTTGTGCACAGCTATGATGGAGCTCTGCAGATCCCACTGTGGCCACCCTCTTCCATTTCTTCGGTTTCCGTAAAGTTTCCTAGTGAACAAACTCAAGTTTTCACTTTAAAGGAGAGGGAGGAAAGCTGTGCTCTCCTGCAGGTCATGCAGTGCCACTTTGAGACAGTTTTATTTGGGCAGTAAACTCTTTGAGTTGTTCTTGGCAAAAGTTCTAATGAAATGGAAACCTTGAAATATGCTTAGAGCGGTAAGTATGGCCTCACCCTGTATCTTGGGGATGCAAGGTTGCAGGCGATCTTATTAGTTGATCTGATTTACTTTCCAGGAATCTTGGTACCGGTGCATCCTTTCAGAATGTAGGGGGGGGGTCTATCTCATTTGGCTTAAGTGAGCTTTATACTTGAGCCTGGAGTTAGCTCTGCGTGTGGGAGGGAGTGCTGCTTCTCCAAGTGTGGTCCCTGTATTACATGGGACCTTCTTAAAAATGCACATTCTTGGGCTCCAGCAGGACCTCCAGGTGATTTGGGTGCACGCTAGGCTTTGAGAACCAATGTGTGTCATGGCTTTTGAAAAGTGAGGGTGGAAGAGGGAGACAAGAAAGGATATCATGACCCCCTGAGACTCATCCCCCAGATCTCCTGAATCTGTGCAATCAAAGGCAGTTCAGGATCGTTTCCAGGAGAAGGGGATGGTGACTGCATCGATCAGTGTACAAACCAGGTCCTCCCCTGGCCCTGCCTGGGTTCGATTTCCTTGAGAAATTTACCATTTTGACTCCACATAAGAAGGGAAACTAGCAGCAGGTGCCTGGGGAAGGAGGGCAAATTGTTTTGATGCTGTCAAAACAATACTAACATTACTTTTAATATACCCAGGATAAGATACATTTTTCCATTAGGGATATAAATGTCATTCCCAACAATTTCAGTGTTGCCTCCCAGGTGGACTTTTGTGAGGATGATTTTTAAAGTAACTTAAAAAATAATTTTAAAATTAAAAATTTGATAATGAAGTAGTTCATCTTCTCTGAAAGGCAACATGGAAAATGGATGTTGTTGTACCTGTCTCTGTACCCCCACCCCCAACGCAGCTGCTCTGTGGTATGTTTGTAAGTCACACAGAAGCTCACTCTTGGGCTCAGGTAAATCTGACCAGTTTGCAAAGAAAAGAGCCCAGACATGGAACTCACACCTAGGTGACCTTGCCTGCTCCTCTGGCAGTGGAGGGAGCCATGGGCATGTGTGAATGAGGATGACCGACATTGCGTTTCCTTCTCCTTTCTGGACAGGTTGGCCTCATTCAGCTTGGGCAGGAGCAGGTGCTAATCCAGCCCCTCAACAACTCCCAGGGCCCATTCAGTGGACGAGAGCATCTGATCAGGCGCAAATGGTCTTTGACTCCCAACCCTTCTGCCGAGGCTCAGAGATCTGGGCAGCTCTGCAAGGTTCTAACAGGTGAGTCAGGGCAGCAGCATGACCGGCTTAGAACACATGCACAGCCCGCATCCTTTGTGTGTCTCCAAGTGCACTGAAGCCACGTGAGTGAGAACTTACCTTCCCCTATATTTCAAAAGCTGTTTTATTGCCCTAAGACCACTTCCTTTTCCTTTCTGTGTGTCTTAGTGTCAGCAGCCCTTTGAAAAAGTCATCGTTTTATTTCTGCAAGGAACCCATGATCTCTTTCATGCAGTACCTCAATTTTATATATCAAGAGCAAGTTGAGGTCCAAAAATCCTCTAGGGCTTATTGATCAAACCCCAGGTTTGTAGCCAAGCTTGGATGAGAATTCCCTCCTCCTGGTGCCCTGACAAGGAGCTCACTCTTAATAATACAGTGCTCCTGAGTGCTGGCTGCACTAATTAAAGCTACCTGGGACGCCTCTGAAGCTGCGATTCTTGCAGTGTGGCCCTTGGGCCAGCAGCATCAGCATCACCTGGGAACTTGTTAGAAATGCACGTTTTCAGGCCAGACCTGTGAATCAGAAACTCTGGGGGAGGGTCCAGTAATCTCTAGTTTCATGGGCCCTCCAGGGGATTTAGATGTGTGCTAAAGTGTGAGAACCACTGCTTTAAAAAATGCCATGCACTGGCTTGTCCCCCAGCATCCTGATCTTTTTTAGTCTGGGGTATGATTTGGGTTCCAGTGTTTTTAAAAGTGATTTTAATATGCAGTGTAGGGGGAGAACCTGGGGCTCTTATACTCTGGGTCTTTCTTTGAGCATCCTTAATGTTGATTACCCATCACATGTTTAAGAACATTTCATGGGGCTGCAAATGTCTCCAGATGAAGTTGGATCACAGGTGGCATTTCCTCCCAGGAGATCGTGGGACCCCACTGCTGACTTCTGGGGGCTGTGCTTCTGTAGTTGAAAGACTTATCTTTGTATGAAAATGCAGTGTGTCTTAGTTTAGTATTCTGGTGATATTGGAAACAATGGGTCTTGGTTTAGTATCCTGGTGACATTGGGAATAAATTATGTGACTGCTTTAGAATTACCTTGTTATTTGTAAACAAGTTTTGCAGTTGAGCTCAGCTGCTGTGTGTGGACTTGATGGAAGTAGGTCGACTTTCTCCTTAGCCTAGTCTGGGTGGGCAGGGTGGGTATTAGAGGTGATTGTGCTGGATAGAGGGCATCTCTGAAACCTCAGGAGAGCTTTGAGTCTCAAATGGAGTCATTAGGGTTTTTCTGTTTTTTCTGCATCCTTACAAAAGTAAGGAGGACCAAATAAAATTACTAGTACCTAAAAAATACCGTTTAATAGGAAACAGGGTCTTTGGTAAGTCTAATGGTTGTGTGTGGGCTTGACGTCAGTATGGCTTTTTTTTTTTGGAGACACGGTGTCACTCTCTCACCCAAGTTAGAGTGCAGTGGTGTGATCATGGCTTGCCACAGCCTTGACCTCCTGCGCTCAGGTGATCCTCCCTTTTGAGTAGCTGGGACCACAGGCGTGCACCACCACACCTGGCTAATTCTTGTTTTGGTAGAGGTGGGGTTTCGCCATGTTGCTCAGGCTGGTCTTGAACCCCTGGGCTCCAGTGATCCTCCCACCATGGCCTGCCAAAGTCCCGAGATTATAGGCATGAGCCACTATGCCTGACCCTCCCCAGTGTGCTATTTTTAATCTGAGCCCCTGACTCTACCTCGTTCTGTCTTGACGTAGCGGCGCAGAGGCAGAGAGATTTCTCTACGGCCGTGGTTCTCAGTCCTGGGTGTACCTTGGCCTCACCTGGGGAGCTTTAACAACTCCTCACGCCTGGGTCCCACCCACAGAGAACCACTTTAATTAGACATCCTGAGGACATCTGGCAATGTAAAGGCTCCCAGGTGGTTCTGATGTTCAGCTGGTATTGAAAACCACATCACTAAGGACTGTTAAACCTGAGGAATAGCACCTGTGGGCCATCAGGAGTGGATTTTCCCATTTGAGCACCTTCAAGCAGGGCCATGCAATGAAACAAAGGACAAATGTGTCTTCTCACTGTTCCCTCTGCTCACGCCACCGTTCATCAGCCGCTAGTCCATGGTCAGAACTCAGCATGCTTGTAGATGAGATAATGGGATGTTTGTCTAATGACCAGCTTCCATCCTCTTTAGTCGTGTGATACTGAGGATCACTGACAACATGATAAATGGTGCTTGTGTTTGCCTTTTTGTCCCTAAGAAGAGTTTTGAGGCATTCTTTTGATAGACTGTTTAGCCTTTAATGAGGAAATAAAATTAACAAAACCAGGGTGGGGTGGATGTGATGGAAAAAGTTAAAACAAGAGCAGCCATTCAAGACTGTAGGGAGAAATTTCTGAACTTGCTTAAAAATATAATCTCTCCTTCCCTGCTCTCAAACCTTGCATCAGCTTGCTTTGAGCAGGCTGTAATGTGCGTATTTAAGGTTGTGCCAGACTCAGGCTCTGCGCTAGTGAGGAACACAGACGCAGAGGAGAGTTACATATTTTGCTTCTGGTCCTTCTTGCATTGCATGAAATATTCAGTAAATGTGGCTGTCCTGAGAAGGACAACGAGCCTTTTAATAGGCCGAGCTAATGAGCAGTCAGTTAGGCCCTATCTCGTTTGGATTAGCTTTCAAACATCAGGAGTTTAGAAATCAGGAAAATTACTGGGACATCTGCAAAGTACATTCTTGAAGTTTCCTAGAAGTTTCCTAATCTTTCTTAGAAAGATTAATCAGATTAATCCAAGATTTCCCATGGGAACGTGCTCTTCCTGGCTGAACATGGCAGCCATAGGTTTCATGCCCTGTTGTTGACCCTGTGTTATGATAGCCTTGAACATGGTCTGAGAGTAGCCTTGCCTGCTCTTGCAGGTGAGGAGGAGTCTGAGAAACTTCCTCCGTGAAGCACTCAGTGTACCTGAAAGGTGAACCCAGGTGCGCCGCTGTGCTGAGCAGGATTTTATGTCCGAGCAGGGGTTGGGGCTAGAAGGACTGACACAGCAAAGGCCACCTGGGAAATGTTTCTTTCCCTTGGACACTACTGAGGTTGCATTTCTAGTGGTCTTTGGGGCTTCAGGCGAGGGGACAGGCTGATCCTGTTTCCTACATTGCTTCTAATTTTGGGGGCCTGATAAACTGATCCATAAAATAGCACTCCAGGTTGGAACTTGGCTAACTAAAATGGTACCTTGGATATTTTGAAATGTTCCTTGATTTTTAAACAGTTATTTTGACTTCAAACCTTTTAATCTTCCTTCAGTGCTTATTTTAATTTCTCCATTATGGTTCAGTTTAGAATCTTCCAGCATTTTCATGCTCTTAAGTAACAATATGAATCTTCCTCTCTTCACCCGTGGTGTATTTCACATGTATGTGGTAGTAGGTGAAATAGAAGAGTAATTTTCCATTAACATTTGCAACATAGGAATCCCACTGATATGCTGAGTGGTGGTGAGCTCATTGGAACGTGATTTTGCCTCCAACTGTGGTTTCTGTGAAGCACTGATGTCTACTTTATAGGTTAAGTTCTGTTATCATTATCTTAAAAACTCATTGTGGTTATTTTCTAGTGTTGTCTTGTTCATTTATAACATTATAAAGGTAATGTCAATGAGTATTTGATGGATACGGTAACTCTTTAGAAACTGTGTATTGCTAATTTATGCAAGAATTTGCATGTATAATACGTGTATATCCTCTGTAATGTGCAACTGGTCAGGTCTTGTGCTTTGTACCAATTATGCCTAGTGTTCCATCATTGGAACACTAAGCTTGTGGAAGTTGTTTATACCCTACTGCTCAAGGTCATTGCCAAGGTCTGAGTTTTCACACAAAAAAATTTGCAACCTCAGGCATAAATGGGTTAAGATTCATTTGGTTGGAAATGACAGAAATCAAACTGGCTTAAACACTAAAGACATCATTGACATGAGTTCATGCAGCTGACGAGTAAAGCAGGAGTTTGGACATCAGGTAACATTTGCCCAAACTTCACTTCTCTGCAATTACTTCTTTGTATGACACCCTTGTGTCCTCACCTGGCTCCTCTTAGGGTGACAAAGAGGCAGCTAGGATGAGGAGGTCAGCCATTCTGTTTAATTGGGATTTGAAGTGGTTTGGCTTGGATTGGGTTTGCCACTAGCTGCAAAGGTTTATGGCAGGCTTAGGTCTCTCCCCATATAGAGCGTAGGTGCCAGTACTCACGTGACTATGCAGCTACCACTCTGTTTCCATTCCTGTCCTGACTTCTACCAACCATCACACACTTAGAAGTCTGGAGTAGATTTAGAACATCTCGAATCCAGGTGTAATCCATTATTCCAGCCTACACAGTTAACATTTGGCTGTTTCATCCTTATTTCCACAGCTTAGATGCTAATTAGCTCCTCATTCCACCTGTGCCCCAGGGATAACTGTAGCTGCTGATCTTTGCTCAGCAAGGGCTCCATCCCTCTGAAATTTGGTTCCTCTGCACTTCTTCGAGACCTTAGCTCTCCCAGTGGATAAAATAAAATATGATTTTGTAGTTCATCTGGTGTTCTTTGTTGTAAAAGTGGTAGTTGGAGTCTTTCCTGTCCTTCTATATCTTAACTGGAAGCAGAACCTAAGAGGAATGGCATTAAATTGCTACTTTGAGTTTTTTCAGGTTAATATTTTAAATATTTATTGGCATATAAATGTTAACTCTGTAAGTAGACATCAGTAGTTTAAGAATTATTCTACAAAGAGAAAAAAGAACTGTGGTAGAGGCCCAATTCTGTTTCCCTTTGGTGTAACTCCAGAAAAAGAGTCCCTTAATATCTCTGCACCTCTGTATTTGGAGCAACAGAGGCTGCTCCAAAGCACCACAGACCTGGGGGCGTAACAGAAATTTATTGTTTTGTTGGTATTTGTTATTCACAGTTCTGGAGGCCGAAAGTGTGAGATCAGGGTGTTGACAGGGTTGTTTCCTTCTGAGGCTATGAGGAAAGGATCCGTTCCAGGCTTCTCTCCTTGGCTTGTAGATGG